CTTCAGAACACTCTGAAATAGTAATAAATAAGTACCAATAAATAAGATCTCCCCTGGCCGCCCCGCTCCGGGAGGGCTCCGCTCCGCTCCCTCCCCGGCCATGGCAGCATGGACGCGGCCGTGCTGGACACAGCTATTTATACCTTCTCTCTTTTTTTCTTTCCCCCCCTCCCCTCGTGGCTGATATAGGAAGAGTGATGCGAACACAATACGATTCCAGGAATCCCTCACTTCCTGGAACAGATTAAAAGGGACACACAAAAGATTACTAAGGAGGTCTGCCTTTTTTTTTTTTTCCGTTCCACGGAGCTTCATTTCTCCGGAGCCAGCGCTGGGAGAGGTCGCTGCTCCGGCTCTTCCCGCAGCACTTGGGGAGATCTTATTTATTGGTACTTATTTATTACTATTTCAGAGTGTTCTGAAGGAAGTTCAGTTCCTCTTTAAATATATGTAATTTCCTTTTTCTCTGGTTATTTTTTTTAACTTTTTTTTGCTGCTGTTTTCTGAAAAGCAGAACAAGAATACATTATTTTTTCTAAAGCACTGAAAGTGCACGCATTTTCTTGGCCAAAGTTGCTGAAGTCTTTGTCGGACAGCTCGTCTTCTGCTTGGCTTTTCCTGTGTCTGAAACAACCTGCAGAAGGGGTTTGCTGGGACTCGCCAGCCTTCTCTCACCGTGAACCCCAGCTAGAGGCTGAACTCGCTGCTTCGGGAAAGCAAAGAAGGCAAGAAGAGGAGAAATCATTTCCCACCTTCTTGAAGACTTAATGCTTTTCCCTTGGTCCGGGAGTGACATGATCCTCTGTGTTCAGGGGTAAGATACTCTGCAGCCTTCCGTGAAAAGCTGTGCTTTGATAATTGTAATTAGGAAGGTTCTCTGGGACAGTTTTTCAGCTCGTGTGTGTTGTCATGTGTGACTGTATTGGAATGGGAATGACTTTGGCTGGCCGAGTGCTGAGTTCTGTGTGTCTGTCCTACTGTGTCTGGGTTTAGATTCCAAGGCCAGAATCACAGAACCATAAAGTATTCCTGATTTCCGTGCTTCCTATTGCTGAAAAACTACACAGTATTCAAAGTCTTTGGGAGAGTAAGAATAACTTGGAGTATGTTGTTCAGCGTGGTGGACACAGCACGAGCGTGGACACCAACCCAACACCATAAGTGCTCTCTAAAGTCCTCTTGGAATCAAACTACTTACAGGGAAAAACTTCCGTGGAGTTTAGGTGCTTTGGTCTATTTTTAAGGAGATATTTATGCTAAATTAATTTCAATTTTGTGTAAATTTAAGTGTATGTACATATACATAGCATTCTGTAGAGTGAGAGCTACAGAGGGCACAGGGATAATTCCACATCTGCCTTCAGGAGAACAGGTGACATCCAGGTGCCTTCTCTGGTATCAGTACTGATGTGTTGGCACTTCAGTGTCCCTGTGACCAGCTCAGTTCATCAGCTGAGGAATACCTGGTGCACAGGAATCACCTGATATTTTTACACATACACATACTTGGAAATTGTGAGCATTTGTTTCAGTCTGAGCCATCATGTCAGATTTTCCTATCACTCTGGTGTACGGTGGATTTTCCTCAGAGTAAAACACTCTTATTTTCAGTCTGCAACTGCAGTTCCTAGTTCCATGCATAGCCATGGTGAAGGGAATTCGGTTTTCAGCTTGGCCTTTGGGAAACCCTTATCTGAAGCTTTTCTCCAGCGACAACATACCAGAGCTACTGCTTCCCTTACCCACCAAGAACTTATTATGGAGCCAGATGTGTGGATATTGTTCTTCTCATGTCTATTTTATTGCTCCATTTTCATTATCCTCTAGGATTTCATAAATCCTGGACTCCATATTCTCCATCCTATTCGGACCAAGCTCCCACAGGAGTGTTGGGATGTGGCTGTGGAAAGGGTCACAGCTCTACACTTTTTCTTGTAGTGTTTATACTGCGTTACAAAGTTTAGCTTATCAGCACAGTAATTACAAAGCCAACACTAAATGGTCTCAAACATATCTGATTCTCCTGAATTTTCTTGCCATTCCAAGGCTTTCTGAAACACTAATTGCCAAAGCATAGGGAAGTTCCTTTGCTGTTTCTCTGGAGAATGCATCCAGCTAGACATGCCAAATTTTATATGGTTGTTTGCTTCCTCCTCACAGCTGTTGTACGAACACTTTGCTCTATTCAGTCCTGATTTTCCACGTCTTTCCTCTGCTTTCTCTCTTACAAGACCTATTTGCAAATCCTTTCTTTGCCCCACCAAAGGGCTGACTTTCTCATGTCAGCAAACCTTTTTCAACCTGTCCTTACCCCAGCAAACTCTTCTTAACCCTCTTGCAGGTGTTCTTGCATTAGAAGAACTATCAGCCATTACTTGCTGATCCCTCTGCTCTCCCATTCCTGTGCTTGGAGCTGCTCTGCTCCTGGCAGCAGCTCTTCTTTCTTCAGCCTACATACAAACTTGTTTAGGACACCAGCACCTCCCAGTCTGTCAAAATTTCTAATCCTTCTCCTCTCTTCCACCATGCTCCTCTGAGCCTACAGCTGCACTGGGAGGTTTTGTAGGGACACAAGGTAAATGTATAGAAGGAAAATGGGAAATGTGTGAACCCGGCCCTTCTCTGGCTGCAGTGGAAGGATCCCCACAGTGCTTGCACAGGGTCTGGGCTCCTCCAGCCTCATGTGGCACAAAGAGTAAGGCAGCAGAGTACAAGTACAATGAGAAAACTCATCTCAAGCACATGGGCTCTGCAAGAGAAACCTACTGACAAATTCACACAGTTGATGTGGTTTTTGGAGGACCAAACTGTGAACTGGTAAAGCCCTTGGATGTAACCACTTTCCTCACAGTTCATGGCAGACATTTCCCTGTGTAGCTTTGCTCTCTCTCCCTTCCTTCCCTGCCTCTCAGCCAATTCCTAATTTTCTCTCTGAAGTTGGTATATAAAAAGAAAAAAAGTTCCATGCTGTGAAAAATTTTATGTTCCAAACCTTTCTGGAAGGTAGGCCAGAAAAACTGTCTGGGAGAAAATAATTCAGAGAGATTTTGCACTTGGACTGCAGTATATGAGTTCTGGGGAGTGAATGGTGCAGGACTGATTTTCCTTAGTATCAGTCACAGTCATTTTCAGCTCAGGGTGAAATGACAGGTGGTGTGAGAGACATTGCTCTGCCAGCAGGCCTGGGACACCCACTTTGCACAGCACCAATTGGTAATTAGGTTCAGCACAGGCAAGGATCAGAATCACAGAACATTCTGAGTTGAAAGGGACCCACAAGGATGATCAAGTCATACTCTGAATGACCTGTATGGGGATCAAATTCATGAGCTTGGTGTTATTTGCACCATGTTCCAAGCAGCTGAGCTGGTTAATGGTCTTCCTTGTGCAAAAAGAGGGGTAATAGAGAATTTGGAATCTCCTTTCCCCAAGGAGACAGGTAGCTAGGCATTTGTGAAGACCATGACATTAAGAGGGAGACATCCAAATATCTTGAAAAATTGAGCCCTCAACATGTATAAATATATCTCCAGGAGGATTTAAAAGAGAACTCAGAGCTTTCCCAACAATGATCTCCAGGTATAAAAATATATGCAGATGTACAAAAGCCCCTGAAAATGCAGGTCCTGCGACCAAGGGTCCCTGGTGTGGACAAGGGCCAGCAATCACTTTTATTCAGCCTGGCTTCCTACCCATTAATAGAAATTAAGAAACATAGATTAGATACCATGAAAGCCAAGCAGGTATCCTTCTTCTGAAGTGTGATTTGACACATGGAAAAAGAAAGAATGCTCTTTCCTAAATATCAGCAGAATAGCAGGGGTTTGCTATGTATTGCCAGGCCAAGAAGTAGATATAAATTTACCAGTGGTTTTACAAAACCATACTCCAAACCATACTCCATGGTTTGTTTAGAAATGCAGAGGTATGGAACTGATCACGGTTCTCACTTAGAGGCTGTGAAGGTGTTTTCAGGTTCTCTCTAATCTACTTTCCTCCCACATATTTTCATCCTGTTCTCTGTCCCATACTTGATTCTCAGCAGTTTAAGGTGGTGGAGTGCAGCTACGATCAGGTGCAGTCCAGCACATTTATTTATGTACTCGAAGTGGCCCTGTTCACATAGAGCACAGGGAAGGAGGAAGAATTGAAGGGAAGCACTTAGGACTTTAGAGTCTCCTTCTGCTTCTCTTCAGTGATGTGGGGAGGTGGCTGCACCCTGTGCCATCACTGTCAGCTCCAGTGGTGCTGTGGCAATGTCACACTGAGGACTGAGTGTATTTCTCTCAGCCATCTTCTCTTTAAAGTGTCTGAAAGAACATCTCAGGTGTTTTGGGGGTGGTGGGGGGATGTAACACAGGACATGGAGCAGGACAGGAGACACAGAGGCAAAGAGCTTACACACACTGGGACAGAAACTAATTTTAGACAAGGAGCTTGCCTGGGAATGAAGACTTTCCTGGCCTCTGACATCCCTCCTCTTCCTGGAGCTCTGCTTTCCTTTAGCAATCCCTGTGCTGCTGAGGAGGAGCACCCATGACCCATGAGAGCTCCATGCTGTGTGAAAATGAATAGCTACACCACTTTAGGCCACAGGGGAATACATGTTCTAGCAGCCTGGCCATGGCAGAGCCTCCTCCTGCAGTCCTGCAGGGATTACAGCCACATTGACTCCGCCATTGAGCTGCTGACGGTGGGGTGGGTGTAGTGCACAGGCTTGGCTAAAACAAGAATTCCCATTGTTCTCCTGCATGATCAGCTCACTCTGAATTCTGATAGATTCATTTAGGATCGGGTCATCCTTGAGCAGAAAGTGGATAGGACAAAATCCAAGCTGTTCCCAATTCTGCTTCTCATTATATTGCAGCAAGTGACAATCCCGTTGTCAGAAACAGAAATGCTCCAACATCGCAATCATGTAAATGAAACTGTAGTGCTCTTGTAAACCTTACTGCCCCTGAAAATATGTATTAAAAGGCAACATCTAAAAATATCAGGTTCAAATCATCCTAAATGGCAAGACTGACCACCTTCTATAAGGCCAAAGAGGCAAACTCACTGTCCTTGTTTCTAAAGGCTCATCTTTAGCTGTGTTCCTTCCTCCTCCCTTGCGTTTCTCAGAAACAACGGTGCTGAGGATGTTTGCAAAACATAACACCTTGAGGTACAATGTAGCATGCACTGAAGAGACCCTGCAACTGATCTCAAGGCAAGGAGAAATAGCAGAGTGTGCCTTTCATTTCAGACCTCATCCTTTGCTGGCAGAGGAAAAGATCAGGAGACTGTCACTCAGGGGCATTGAGGAATTGTCAGAGCCTATCATGCAGCCTCTCCCAGTTATGGCCTTCCAGGAGGAGTCTGCGCCTGCCCTTGCAGCTCCAGTTCCAGACAGCAACCCACCTCAGACACGGGACCCTGAAGAAGACCTTCTCTGCATTGCAAAAACCTTCTCCTACCTGCGAGAATCTGGTAAGACTCAATTATTTAATTAATAAAAGACTCAATTTCCCACTTCAGACAGGAACCTGGTTCTGTCACAGCCGTGGCTGGCTCTTGTGCACACAACAAGCATATCCACAGTCTCTACAAACTTATATCATGAACTAATTTATTGCTTTATCTTTTGTTACTGAATTGGGAGAAGGAATTGCAAAAAGCAAGCTGCTTTTTCTCTGTAAACTGCAGCTGCTGCAGCAGCCACCAGCCTCATCCCAAGCCCCAGCACAGCAATGCCAAGCACAGGCAGGAAACCTTTAGAACTTGGTCATTATGAAGGTCTTGCCAACTCCGGCTCTGGTTGTTTCCCAGGCCCTGAACACAGTTGTTTCAAGGCTTCCCTAAATATACTGCCAATCCTATAATATGTTCTTTCCCTAACAAATTCTTTCTTGGATGTTTTTCCAGGTTGGTACTGGGGTTCCATCACCGCCAGTGAGGCCAAGCAGCATCTGCAAAAGATGCCTGAGGGCACCTTCCTGGTGCGGGACAGCACCCACCCCAGCTACCTGTTCACACTGTCTGTCAAGACCAACCGAGGGCCCACCAACGTGCGCATCGAATACACCGACAGCAAGTTCCGCCTGGACTCCAACTACCTGTCCAAACCTCGCATCCTGGCCTTCCCAGACGTGGTCAGTCTCATCCAGCACTATCTCACGTCCTGCACAACGGAAAGCAAGACCGAGGCTCCTTACCCGCCTCCGTCTTCTCTACCTCCCCTGCAGAAGGAGATGGCAGCAGCCGCAGTACACTTGAAGCTCATCCGGCCGCTGGGCCGCAAGGACAGCATTCCCAGCCTGCAGCACCTGTGCCGGCTGTGCATCAACAAGTGCACGGCCAACGTGGAGCAGCTGCCCCTGCCCCGGCGCATGTGGGAATACCTGAAGCAATATCCTTTCCAGCTCTGAAGCGTGGCCGTTCTCTCTCAGGCACGAACGACAGAGACACAACCATGAGAGCTTTGTGTCTCCGTCCCGCTAAAGGTGGGCACAGCAAAGACCTGATTGTCAGCAGAGACTGCATCCATCTTTCCTCTCCCCTTCTCTTCACATCCATTCCAGCCCCAGGGAGGAGTGGTTTGTTCCAGTGAGCAATGGGGCAGCAGCCAAGCTCTGACCCTCGGGCCCTGCCGGCAGTGGCTGTGAGAAGCTCTGTGGGCATGGCCACACTACTTGAATGTCAGAGTTGCCGTGACACCGGACATGTTAACGTTGTTATTTTTGCTATTTATTTCCATGGCAGTTTCTCTCCTCATGGTATTTTTAAAGCACCTTTTACTTTATTGGTTTTTTTTGTTTCTTTTGTGGAATTAGAGATAGCATAAAGGCTCCCAGCCAACTGGCAGCCACAGGTCTCTGGGAATTTGGATTTGGATTCACATCCAAACAGTTTCTGTTTGAGCCTGTCTCTGTGACAGGTTACAGGAGTCCACATCCAAGCTCTCCTAGGCTTCTGGGGTATGTGAGACTCAGATGACTGTATCCAGACCCACCTCTACAGAGGTAAAGACTATTTGTTTTTTATTCCTTAGCTAAAGAGGGTATCACAACCTCAGAGCACAGTGGGAACTCCCAGAGGTGTGTGCTGCATCACATGTGGACAGGAGACTTCTTTGAGGAAGCTCTTCCTTGAGAGCTCTAAGCAGAAATCTGGATAGTGAGGTTGGACCAGGGAGCACTCATCCCATTTTTTTCCATCTTCTCCATCTCCAAAGGAAGTTTGTGACAAAACATTTCAAAACAAGCGATTAGAAACCAAATTTTCTCATATGTAGGCAGAAGGATTTAATTTCAGAGCACCCTGTATTTGGCTTGTGTTTTCAAATTGCTGTTCCCTGATCTTGCCCTTGCCTGAGATACAGGACAAGACCAGGGTCTCCTTGAGCGGGGGCTCAGAGTCAGCTCTGCTGGGCTGCCCCAGTGACACGCACAGCTTCAGGATATTTATTTATTTATTTATATCTGGGGTAGCACTTAGGGGCACCTCAGCCCACAGAGCTGTCCTTGCTCCCTGCTCCCACGATGCCACACTGCTGCATGCTGTGCTCCTGCCAGCATTAGTCACCGGCCGCGCGGCTTCCGCCTGCTCCAGGCTGGAGCACACGCTGCAAACCACAATCCAATGTTTCTGTTTGCCAAGGTCCAGACCTCTCCTCCCCACTGCTCTGACTTGCATGTTTGTTATCCATAATTAGGCTTTTGGCTCTGGGTTTCCTTCTCGCACCCCATCCCTTTCACCCCCTGCAGATGAGGCACAATGGCTCTTCCCCTGCTCTCTTACACGTAGGAGGGACAGACAGCAGATGGGATCTGCCCCAAACCAGCACAGACAAGCTGCCCCTTCCTGTTCATTTGCTGAATCCCATCATCTTCCCAGCCTTGCCATCAAGTGAGAGTAGAGGAGGGAACAGACAGGTTGCAGAAATTATCATTTGGCTTATTTTGCCCCTAAGACCCCCTGACTTGTTCTAGCATGAATGAACATTAAGGATTCCTTGTTCATCATTCCCTGGGACCCTCTCTAAGGCTCTGTAAATCAGAATGGACAAACCCCCAGCTATAGCTGAGTGTTGGAAAAGAAGATGGAAAAAGATGGGATGGTGATCCAGGAGACAAGCTCAAAAAAAATGGGTGAGTTTCTTCCACCCTATCTTAAAGCTGCCAAAAGGGACAAGATGGCCTGATGTGCTTTTTTTTTTTCTCTCCACATTTATACAAGTTTGTGCTGTTGCAAGCTTTGTTTTTGATACTTTGATGATTACAGTGTGCATGTGTGATGTCAGGTTTGCTTTTTGGTATATCCTTCCCCCTTGCCCTCTATGGCAGCAACCATGGGAAGGTACTGAATGATAATGAAAATTTAGAAGGCAAAAAGGAAAAGTTTTTAAAAAATAATATAAATGATAAACCACTGAAAAGGCTTCCTTTTATCCAAACACCTCTATCTGCCTGAGGACACTGGGAACAAGGAAACCACAGCTCTCCAAGGAGCAGCAGTGATCTCAGGAAGCCCACAGAGCTCAGCCACAGGCCTGGTAAATACAGCTTGGGAAAAATCAGTTGGAGAAATGTACAGCAGGAAAGGGCAGGTTGTTCAGCTCTCTGAAACTTGCCTCCTACTTGATCTGTTCTTTGTTTGTGGTGATGGGGAGGTCAAGCTGTGGGTTTGACTCACTGCCCCAAGAGATACCAGGAGCTCCTGGCTGACCCCAAACTGAAGGCTGTGAGCTCCTATGGGCAGGGACCAGCTCTGTTCTATGTTTGTTCTGCATTTAGCACAGTAGGGATCTCTAGGTGCTACTGCAATACAACAAATAAACAATACAGTTACTCCAAAAAGTCAGTTTCTTCTATCTTGAGACAGTTTGTTAAAAATCATTTGACTCTGGATTTTAAATAAACATTTTAAATATACTTTAAAGCCACTCAATGTAAAAGTCTTCAGTAAAATCCAAATGGACAAATTAATTTTCTGTTTAGAGAAATCCTCCCCAAGAATACAGGGCAAACTCTTGACCATTTTTTTTCAAACAAAACAAAAAGCCTTTTAACAAAAAAAAGGCCCTTCAGATACTGGGGGAATAAACACCAAAATCCTCAGTATGGGCCTGGTTCTTACTCCACACAGATGAGCAGCGGCAGATCCCAAGTCCCAGTTTAATAAGGACTGAAGGCACATATTTTAAGGATGTGGCAGAACACAGGAATGATTCTTGTATTGTCTCTGTGTGCCACAGAAAACCAATAGGGGGAAAGAAGACAGAACATAAATGGGCAGATGATGCTTTGGGTGGGAGATCCAGGGCAGATTCTTTTCCCCTTTTCTGTGGCTGTTGGGCTGCGGTGTCCCTGTACCTGGTCCAGCTCTGCAGCCTTCCCCTCTCATCACCTGAGACACCAGACAGTGGGTGGGGAAACCACAGGGGCATGGATCTGCTCTATAATGGCAGAGGCAGACAGAGGACACCCCATCTGTCCAGCTTCTGAAACACAGGGAACACACTGAGCCAACACTGCTACTGGGAGGTGACTTCACTGTGGTCCCTCTGTGCTCCTCTTCCAGGAGGAAAAGGATGTCCCCTCATCCTGCCCAAAGCAAGCATAATGTGCTCCCAACCCTTGGAAAATGGAAAATACACTAAGAAAAAACCCCCACTAACAAACTGAACTAGTTCTCTCCCATCCTTTTCCCTCTGTGAATCCACTGGCTTCAAAGCTCAAAATACTGCTTTAAAGTATTCCTGAAGCATGTGCTGTGCTTCCTATGCCAGCCATGGAGCTGACATTCCCTAGCTAATATTGTTCCCACAATCTCATCAATGTGAATCCATGGGTAGATTTCCATTGCACACCAAACCAGGAAATGTTGGCAATGCCATAATCTGTTCCAGATTAATCTGTTTCAGTTGTTAAATAAAAACAATCACCTCTCTCGTTATAATGGGAAATATTGAAAGAGAACTACACAGTGTAGAAGCAAAACATAAATTAAGTGAAAACACGAAAACAAAAGAAGGAAAAGCTACATCCATCTTTACAAAGAAACTTTGCAAACTCTGGAAAAACCTGAAAAGAAAAATGCAGCATTTCTGACACATTGAGTGATTTCTTAATTTCTTAGCTAGGCTAAACTCTTCCTCTGAGTACACATAGGAAACCCTGCTGTTTCCTTTGCACAGGCTGAAGGTGGAGATGATTGACACGAGCCAGGCTGGTCCAGAGCTGCAGTCACACACAGTTTTACCTCATCAGCTGTTACCTTAACAACTCCCACTCCTGCACCTTCAGCACATTCTGTTAAAGAAAACAGGTTCATGTTCTGAAAACTGTGCCAAACCTCTGTGCAGACTGAGCTGATTTTTACAGTGGAGTTCCACATCTCAGGAACCAGGAGCATTTGTGGCAATGCATGCTGGCCTTTATCAGCACTGAAGTACAGCTGCAACTCCTCTCCCAGTGACACCTGTACGGTTTGCTGAGCCAATGCACAACAATCTGGATTCTCTCTTGGTTTGCAGTTTCTGTCTACAGATAGAAACGTGGGTGTGGAACCCTCATGGAGTCTGAAAAGCAGACTGACAGGATTGGGAATAGAAATCCCATTCCATGAGTGAAACCACACTCCCATGGCCCACTGCCACAGCAGAACTCCCCTGCAGTTTGTCAGCCACATATGGTATCATTTTCTGTCTTAAATCGTCAGCCTTCTGAAAAAGCAACACATGCAAGGGTAAATTTAACCAGCTGACATGCACATATCCCTATCCTTTCTAACTTACAGAAATCTTAGTCCTTTCCTCACAACTTCTCAGGTGCCCAACATCCCCCAGTCCAAGCCAGGGGAACCAGCATCAAATCAGGTGAATCAGCAGAGTGTATTTACTTCTCTTAGGACAGAAGTGGTCAGGTATTTCCAGTTACTGACCTATTAAATCTAATTTCTAGTCCAAATTCCATTGTCAGTCTTACCTGCCATCTATGAAGTTAAGGGAATTAAAACCAAAATTAACTGTTTGTGTGGCTGTTCTGCCAAACATGTTCTCATGTTCAAATCTGTCAGAAGCCAATATCACAGCCCTCTCCTATCTGTCCCTAATGGCTGCTGAGACCCTTGCAATCCTGTTGGAATTACAGAATCCTCTTCCTCAGCCCAGAAATCATCAGCAGTCCAGAGGTCTGGAGGGGAGGATAAAGCAATATCCAGTGAAGATGTGCCAGAACAACTCTGGATGCCAAGTAACATCCTCCAGCTCTCTCAGTTCTGGGCAGCATTGTCACAACATTCACATCATGCTGTCAGTGACCCCTACCCATTGTTCACAGGGGAAAAGGGAGAAAAACCCATCAGTCTGGGCAGCTCCTTATGAAAGAAACCAGTCAGAGATAAAAATAAGGTATAACAGAGATCCACCCTGTCCTTGGGCAGAAACCTTCATCCTCTGTCTGTTCACAGCAGGCTGTGAATGGAATTGAATTTGGAAGAGGGAGTCCAAGGGAAGGCAGCGCTGCCAGCATTGCCCAACGCACGGCAGGCAGGAGGCCCCGGCGCTGCTCTGAGTGCTGGGAACACGTTCAGACTCAGCCATGTCTGCTCCCTGCCCACACCCAGGCCTGCTCTGTGGGTTTTTATAATGCCAGGTGCCAGTGCCCAGGGAACAGGAACACGTGGAGGCACAGCTTTATCTGGAGGCTAATGCTGCCTCGAATGAACCTCGTGTTGATCTCCTGCTGCCGCTTCCCGAGAAACACAACCATCATGTGGCTCCTGCTGCTCACGGCACAAACAAGTGCAGCAAGTGGCCCTCGGGAGCAGGCACGACCCTGCAGCATCCATCAGACATCTGTCATCACCTCTGCTGCGCAGCAAAAAACAAGCTCAGGGAAAAATGACAAAGTGGCCCCAGCAATAAAATTAGAGTCTTTCAGTGTTCAATTATGTGGACTAAGGAGTCTACACAAACACACTCTTCCAAACTTTAGCAAGAACTAGTAATTTTTTCTACTTGAAAAATAACGTATTGTTCAGAAGAAAAGGCTATTGGTAGGCAACATGTTGACCAGAGAGAAGAAAAGTAATTTTAAAGGCTTCACTGTTAGCCTGGGCATTAAATTTCAAAAGAAAACTGTGGAAAGTAAAATACAATTTGGACTTTACATCATAACAATCTTAACATAGAAATTCAGAGTATTTTTTTGGATTTGGAAAGGGGAGGGAGAACAACAAAGTTTCAGAACTCCAGCTTATATTCAGTACAGATGAGACAACAAAAAAGGAAGTTTTACTGCAAACCATTGCTGGCTTAGTCCTTCAATTCCCCTGTAACCAGCTGTGGCAGTGCTCATGGCTGGAGACAGGCTGTTGGCCCATCAATGCCCCCTGTTGCAAAATCCTCATTTGATTAATTTAAATATAGGAAAGAACAGACCCAGGGGAAGCAGCCTGGCCCAGCAGAGGAAAGGGTTCAGTCAGAACTGCTCCAGCCTGACATACCAACCTAGATTTGCATAGAAGGGTTTCCTTTCATGAAAAAGAACTAGAACCTTTCTCCTTTTACTCTTCTTACTCCTCTTCCTCAGAACTCACTGGCAGGATTTTCCCCTCAATGCCATTACTTCCTAAAAGCAGTGTAAATGCACTTTGCAGCAGCTCAGATTTGAGTTGCAAAAACTGAATACAATGTTAGTTTTTGTCAAAATAGCTATTTTAAGAGAACACTCTATCTAGCCAGGAAAGACATTTGTTTTAATGTTCCCCCATGGTACTACTGTGACAATAAAAGCTTGAAATAATACTGGTTACTGCAGCATTAGATTGCCCAAACAGATCATTAGAGACTTGGTATTTCTCAAAAACCTGATATAAATATGCCAGATGGAAGGACAAAGGAAGAGCTGGTCAATTAAAACTCAGTGGGAGAGCTCAGCCAGGACTGGAGTTCCTTGGACTCTGGCCTGGCCAGTAACTCCATCATGTGACTGCCCTGGTCTGGAAGATACGCTGCAACTTTTCCAACTGTGGCTCTTGGAGAAATGCTGTCCTTGCTGAAACAGCCCTGCCATGGAAACCTGTAAAACACAACAGACTAAATCCAGGTTCCTTTCCCAAGGAGTGGGATGGGAATTAATTTACTTCAGGGTTGAATTTGGTCCACTTCATATTCCTAGTTTTACAGACAAGAATTTTATCCTCGGTGAAATTCTGACACAAATTGGTCTTCAAGGGAAATTGTAACACTGAAGTGCTGCAGATTTAACACAAGAAAGCCCTTCCATCACCCACTGTCTCCAGCATGCACAAACCCAGCAAGGAGTTTTTTCATTTAAAAGCAGAAGAAAAGCTCATGGTGCAGTTTACAATTAAGTTCTGGCTTTCTTGAATTCACTTACAAATATTCCAGTCAGAACATGTGCAATGCCACTTCAGGATGTAAACACCAACTCGTGGAAAACTGAGCAGCCAAGCCTGAATTGATCTCAGCAAACTTGTTTCACCTTGGCTAGGACAGAGCTTTCTGTGGTGACAGCTCCTAAAAACGACAGGTCTGGGTTCTGTCTGGGACAGAATCACACTGAGATGCCCTTCCCTGCCAGCTGTCCCTCACTGCCTGTTCCTTGTGGCCTCACTCAGTGCAGAGGAGCAGAGATTTAACTGCTGATCATAGACTGCAGACTCTTTAATGTCAGGGCTGTTTCCTCCCTAGAACAGCAACATGGTTTGAAATCTAGCTTACAGAAGGCAGAACTGTGTTTGTACTTGTCAGAAGTTACCCAATTTGGCAAGGATTCTTCCCATCATGCAAGTGTCACCGCAGCCATTGCCAAACAATGCAGAGGCAGAGTTCAAAACACTACCTCCAAGCCTGTTAATATGATGAAGAAATATGTTGCCCACTGCACATGCTATATGTTTGCACTTGTCTGAAA